GCCAAAAGTAAAAGGACCTGAAATTGATTTAAGCTTCTCAAAGAGAGATGTGGATGTGACACTTCCAGAAGCCAAAGCTGAAGTCAAACTCCCCGATGCTGAACTAAAAGAACCTTCTGCTAAAGTGGAATTTAAAGTTCCTGAGAGTGAAGCTCAGTTAAGTCATGTGGAAGGATCGGCATCAAAATTTAAAATGCCAACATTCAAATTTCCCAAATTTGGAGTTGCAGCACCAACCGTCAGCACTGAAGTACCTGATATAGACAAAGAAATCAAAATTGATGGAGCTGACATGCACATATCTGTGCCACAAACAGATGTTGATGTACCAAAAATTAAAGCAGAGGTCTCTCTGCCAGAGGCAGAAGTCAAAGAGCCTTCAGGTGGTGTTGTGATAGACCAACCAGGTGTGGAGGTAGATGCAAAACTAAAAAAGCGAAGGTTTTCACTGCCAAGATTTTCTTTTTCAAAATCAAGTGTTAAGTCCCCAGAAGTTGATGTCAGTCTTCCGGATGTGAATGCTGCAATTCCAGAGGGAAAGGTGGAAGTGAAAGAAGGGGACATGGATATGAAACTACCAGAGTGTGAAGCAGAACTTGATGGGCAAGGAAGCAAGTTTAAAATGCCAAAATTTGGAATCACAATGCCAAAGGTAACAGGTCCTGAATTAGATATCAGCTTAACAAAGAAAGATGTTGAAATGACACTACCAGAAGCCAAAGCTGAGGTCAGGCTCCCTGACATTGAACTGAAAGAACCTTCTGCTGAAGTGGAAATCAAAGCTCCTGACTTCAAAGTTGTGACGAAGGATACAGAAGGATCACCATCAAAATTCAAGATGCCAACATTCAAATTACCAAAATTTGGAGTTAGTATGCCAAGTGCTACCATAGAAGTGCCTGATACACACAAAGATGTCAAAATTGATGGCGCTTACATTGAAATTCCTGAAGAGGTTCACACAGTTGAAATTGTAGCACCCAGCATTGACACTGAAGGACCATCAATAGATATAAAAACTACAGGAACTGAACATGAAGGCAAAGGAACTAAGTTTAAAATGCCAAAGTTTGGAATTACAATGCCAAAGGTTACAGGTCCTGAAATTGATTTAAGCTCATCAAAGAAAGATGTTGATCTGTCACTACCAGAAGCCAAAGCTGAAGTCAAACTCCCTGACATTGAACTGAAAGATACTTCTGCTGAGGTGGAAATCAAATCTCCTGAGTTCAAGGTTGTAACAAAGGATACAGAAGGATCACCATCAAAATTTAAGATGCCAACATTCAAATTACCAAAATTTGGAGTTGGTATGCCAAGTGCCAACATAGAAGTGCTCGACACGCACAAAGATGTCACAACTGATGGAGCTGACATTAAAATTCCTGAAGAGATTCACACAGTTGAAATTGTAGCACCCAGCATTGACACTGAAGGACCATCAATAGATATGAAAACTACAGGAACTGAACATGAAGGAAAGGGAACTAAGTTTAAAATGCCAAAGTTTGGAATTACAATGCCAAAGGTTAAAGGTCCTGAATTTGATTTAAGCTTATCAAAGAAAGATGTTGATGTGTCACTACCAGAAGCTGAAGCTGAAGTCAAAGTCCCTGATGCTGAACTGAAACAACCCTCTGCTGCAGTGGAAATCAAAGCTCCTGAGTTCAACGTTGTAACAAAGGATACAGGAGGATCACCATCAAAATTTAAGATGCCAACATTCAAATTACCAAAATATGGGTCTCCTAGTGCCACTGTAGAAATGCCTGATGCAGACAAAGACATCAAAATCAATGGAGCTGACATTAAAATTCCTGAAGAAGTTCTCACAGTTGAAATTGCAGCACCCAGCATTGACACTGAAGGCCCATCAATAGATATGAAAACTACAGTAACTGAACATGAAGGAAAAGGAAGCAAGTTTAAAATGCCAAAGTTTGGAATCACAATGCCAAAGGTAGCAGGTCCTGAAATTGATTTAAGCTTATCAAAGAAAGATGTTGCTGTGACACTGCCAGAAGCCAAAGCTGAGGTCAATCTCCCTGACGTTGGACTGAAAGAACCTTCTGCTGAAGTGGAAATCAAAGCTCCTGAGTTCAAGGTTGTGACAAAGGATACAGGAGGATCACCATCAAAATTTAAGATGCCGACATTCAAATTACCAAAATTTGGGTCTCCTAGTGCCACTGTAGAAATGCCTGATGCGGACAAAGACATCAAAATTGATGGAGCTGACATAAAAATTCCTGAAGAGGTTCTCACAGTTGAAATTGCAGCACCCAGCATTGACACTCAAGGCCCATCAATAGATATGAAAA